CGGGCCCCCTGGCGCTGCCCCGCCGCCGCGCTACGGTCTCCGGCTGCCGTCACTCGGCCCCTTCTCCCTGCCTCGGGAACAGGGCAAGGGCAACTTCACTGAATCACGGCTTCACAAAATCGATAAGGTTGGAAAAGACCTCTGAGGGAGATCATCGTGTCCAGCCTGCGACCAAACACAACTATGTCAACTAGACCAGGGCACTAAGCATCCAGTCCGTTCTTAAACACCTCCAGGGATGGTGACTCCACCACATCCCTGGGCAGCCCATTCTAATGTCTAACCACCCCTTCTGCGAAGAAATTCCTTCTAATGTCTAACCTAAACCTAATGGCTGGAGGCTATTTCCTCTTGTCCTGTCACAGGTTGCCTGGAAGGTGAGACCGACCCCCACCTGGCCACAGTCTCCTTTCAGGCAGTTGTGTAGAGTGATAAGGTCACCCCTGAGCCTCCTTTTCTCCACATTAAACACCCCCAGCTCCCTCAGCTGCTCCTCACGGGAGTTGTGCTCCAGACCCTTCGCCAGCTTTGTTGCCATTCTCTGCCCGTCTCTTCAGTACACGCTACACACAAAACCCCTCACGTCTCACATCAGCTGTTTCCCACTTCTCCTGCTGTGAGGAGCCGAGCACCACCGCAGAGAGAGAGGGGTCTGGGGGCAGTGCCATTCTGAGGCACTCAAAGCGGGCTCTCTGAAGCTGAGAGCTGAACGCGGTGCCGTTTTCCCAGACGAGACTGAGCACACGGCATCGCAGCCCAGTACACACTCTCCTCCGGCGCAGGTCCCCAAACCCAAAAGCAAACAAAACTTCACCACTTCACCACCATCTTACATTGACAGACTCCAAAAATAACCTGCGATCAGGTTATTTGCTTTTACGTGACAGGCAAAGGGAGAAGTTGTAGGAGAAAGTGTGAAGAATCGCTCAGCAGATGAATTGCTCACGCACGTGTTTTATGGAGATCGCATGCCGGAGGGACAGTACCCATACTTAGGCACCCACTTCATCTGAGAAAACCTGAGCACAAGTTTGATAGAAGAAGGGTAAAACACGGTTTGGGTTGGTTTTTTGGGGTTTTTTTGTTGTTGTTGTTTTGTTTTTTTTAAAAAAGATAGGATTTAGTTAAATCGAAAGAGGTAGAAAGAGAAGATTTACTGGCACATGTAACATGTCTTTTTTTTCCAATGGAAGTTCATAATCATTCTTTTTCAGTCCTTGTCATAGTGTCAAAATTTGGGGTGACACAGAGGTTTCCAAGAGACAGATGCAGCCAGACATACAGCATGTAAAAGAGCACATATTTTTCTATTTCTGGCTTTTGGATGTTAGGAGCAACATTACAGGTGTTTTTTCCTAAGAGTAAGAAAGAGTATCACTTTTTAAAATATGCTGAAGGTGTTCTTCACTCTCTTACTGTTTCTAGAAACCAGGAGAGATTTTCTATATTTTCCACTGGAAAATAATTTGAACCAATAAAAAAAATTCTTTTGCAAAATCTTCTCATGTGATTTTTTTATTTTCTACCTAATTCTATCTTGCAGCTGCACACATCACATCTGCAGAAAAACACCATGTAAGCCAGATGATGGAGGACAATATTTTTATTGATGCATGTGTAATAAGCAATTATTAAATATCAGTTGATGGAGCTGTTTTGCCAAATCAAAGTAAAACTCTCTCCAAAAAGTGCCACCTTATTACTTCCCTTTGTGCTGGTAAGGACACAACTAAGCACACCCTGCATACAAAGTGGCTGGGTCACTCAGCACCTTCTTAATGCTTTCTGTAAAACAAACAGCACACAAGGCACTGCTAGCATAGCTTCACAAAGGATTGTTTGCAATGCTTCAGTTGCTCGTTTAACTGAATGCGAGTTTTTTCCTACAAGACTAACGTTTAACGAGCGCGGCCAAGTATCGTCACCCTGCCTAACAGCAGACTCTGGCATGGGCTGCAAAGCCAGCTCGCTTGAACACTCAATAAATCAGCTGCACTCAAGTGAAGTGTATTGAACTGTTACCTATCAGACCAGTGTTTGAGGCTCTTAACAAAACTTTTTCTCACACTGGAAAGTCTCTTTCAGACGAGAAAACCTGTAATGGTGAAGTTTGTTCAAAAGTGGGAGGAAAGAGGTTGCAGTTGAGAGCTATATGTCTGTAAACCATATCAACAAAATAAAAGTCGAAAGTCTTTCAAAGTCAACAGGGTTTTGTTCGAATGAATTAGAATTAGGATTAATTAATGCTGAGCAATTCATTAAAGAGTAAACAATATGACCCACTGCAACTGGTGTTACAAGTAGTGACTCCTACCTTCAACCCACCCATACACATATGCACTATGAATGGATTATAATGAAAGATCTGGACGTTTTTCTGTAATATTTCTA